TTATTGAAGGGTGTCTTTCTACACAAGGGTAATGCCCCCACCCGCCACCCCCCAAACTGTGAGTTCCTTGAAGACAGACCCTACTATTTAACCACCTTTCACCCCTAACATCTGTCCTCAATGACTGGACTGTAATAGATACTCAATAAATATTTCACAGGTGAAACAGTGGACTGAGAAATGCTTATCTGTACACTGCAATGCACTGCTAAGTGAGACAGACATCTGGTTCTATTAATAACTTATAAAACCACAATCCTGTTTATGTCCTGCACGCAGCACACTCCATCCACTTGCAGTGGCTCCATTCCCTATGTGCTATACACTAGCTGCTTGGCTGCATCAACCTTTGCCTCTGCTTCTCCAGGGGTCCCTTGCTTATTGGCCACTGAACAGTCCTAAGGCCTTCTCTATTCTGAAGGGATCATTCTGGCTACATGAAGAGGCCAGGCAGTGTGGTGCAGTAATTAAACACACAAGCTTTGAGATATGTAGACATGGGATTGCTTGCTGTGGATGAGTTGCTTAGCCTCTTTGTCCTAGGTAAAAGAGGGCATTTAATACTTCACCTTGTTTTGAAGATTATTTTGGCCAGGTGTTTGCAGGAAACTGACTTCACCCTAGATCCTTCAAATGAATGGATTACTTACAGAGGTTTGCACAAGGGTAAAGGAACAAACAAAAGTTGGCGGCGCACCTAGAGACTAACAATAGGAAATCATTACCATCCTTAAGGCTGAAAGGACAAAGGGAGGAAATAATGTTACCTGAGCCCACTGAGACCTGGAATCTTGGAAGAGAGGTGGCCCCAGAGGCACTATAGTGTCAGAGAAACAGCTAATGCTGGAGATGCAGCCCAAAGCATCAAGGGAATAGGGAAGAAATATCCCAGCCTCTCTCTCATCCCATCTTCCAATTGCCTGCTGGTGTTACCTACTGGTTGTAGAGAAATGACAATCAGGAGAGAAACAAGCCCTGGGAGCTGCAGCCTGCAGGGTCTGGCTTCCTGGCCTACGTAGCAGGGAAGAGACAGCCAGAGAAGGGATTGAGGGGCCAGAGACAGGCCAGCTCAAGGAATAAATGAGAAAATGAAATGCACTTTTCATATGACCTGACACACAGTGAGCATTCAACAAACAGTAATTGTGGTTACTGTTAGTATTACTATGGCTACAACATCAGTGTGCTTTCTGGTTATACCTGATGGCCATCTTCACACCTCTGAGCAAGAGCCACAGGCCTCTGACTTCGTGGGCAGCAAGGCCCCGTTTTAATAATGCCCATTCTCCCTGGTCTACTCAGTCTCACAGCTTTGTTTCTCCTGACACCAAGATCTTTTTTTTCCCCCCAGGATCTTAATGATCCCATCTCTGTTCTCATCAGGCTAAATGAGGCTGTTGAACTTACCTTCAGGTTTGGAACAACAAAAAATAATCTCTAAGGAAAGTTCTTTTGAAAAAACTATCCATGTATGTACCACAGATCCCTTTCTATATGGTCCATTTCAAAGATTTTCCTTTTTCCTTCTTATCTAATGGACTGAGACTAAATGGTCATGCTAATGGCAACTGTCTTGCATTCCAACTGCTGCTGCCCTGCCATAAAGTACAAATGCTCATAAGGGCTTAAGAATGTGTTTTAAAAATCTTTTACCTTGTCACTATTCAGCTTGCTGCTTTCTTTCACTGCTTTCATCCCTGTCACTGGCCCAAGGTATCAGGATCTGATGTTCCCTGACCCAATAACTACCTCTCTATTCGTTACTGAAATTGTCAATGCCATTCTTTTCCTTCTCTCATTTTTCCTCTTTTTCCTAGCTTAGGTCACTTGTCACATTTCCCATTCTTCTCAGTGTTCATAACAGAAGGCTGGCCTCTTAGGCAACACTGCTAGCCCATCAAATAGTTCCTGTCCTTCCAGGATACAAACTGATTAGTAACTGCAGATGAGATAAAAATCTTTGGTTCTTTGACTCTTCTTGGCTGCTTGTTTGTTGCTGAGTGGCCAGGGTTTGAGGTTTCTGAAAGGCCAAATGTGATCACTAACCTTCTCACACAGTAAAGTTTGATTGTGCAGTTTGGTTGAATGTGTGCTGCAGGCGGAATGTCAGTGAATTGGGGATGGTTTAGAAAAGTAGACAGCCTGTGATGCTAGGGCTCAGTCTTGGATGGAAAATTCTCTTCCTCCATCTCCCTACCCCTTTGGGTAGAGGCAGGAAGTAGAACCAAGATGAAATATCCAGTCCTTTTGGAGCTGGGTTCCTGATTCTCACAAATACCAGCTATAGTTATTATTGGACTCTGAAGGAAACACTTCTCTCATTCTGTGCATAAGGAACTTCTGGGAGTCAAGGGTTAGATGGGCACCATTTATGAACCTAAATATTGGCTGAATAACTGAGCCAAATTGTGTTGTCCTTAATATATGTGCACTGGATAATCACTGTTAGAGGCACATGGAGTCCATGGATTTCATCATTCTTAACATTAATTTTGAAGACTTGTAATTTGAGACCTATTTAGAAAACAATACTGTATTACTGGAATTTAATCCAGGGTAAAACTGCAGTGTCTTAAGAATTGGAAAGATAAGATTTAATAGGATTAAGCTTGGCTTTCAAAGTAAATTCTGAAAGAAACAAAGGAAATGACCTCTATACTTTAACAAGTCAATTCCGATGCTGTTAAAACATCTTCATTCCCCATAATACTTTGAAATTAAAAATAAAAAAGATTTAAAAAAAGACATCTTCATTTACTTATCTTGTCCAGGAAGTAGTTAAGGCACCATTGCATCAACTTGAACAGGACCCAGCTTTTGAAAGTCTGAAAAACTACCATGAATAGCAATTGTTTTATTATTTATGAAAAAGAATTAAGTATGTCAACCTACATACTAATGGTAACACAATTACCTAAACTCACCTGCTGTATATAATAAAGGACAAAACTAACCACCCATATTCAGGCATTATGTTTAGTGAATAAGAAAGCTCATTCAAGGCAGCATTAACCTTAATAAAAACAAAAACAATCAAGTCACTCGCTCCATCTCAGTCTTAATAGTATTTCATCCTCTTCCTTTCTCATCTCTAATCACAGCAATGGCTGATGCAGTGATAAAACAAGACCATCTAAAACCAAGCTCCAATTTGCCTTTTTCTCATAGGCTAGTCATCAACACAATTATTTAATGACCTTTATGAACCCAACAAAATTCTCAGTGGAAGAGGTACAGAGAGGTCAGTAGCAAAGGATCACACCCCAATCCCACCAAACGTTTCACTACAAAAAATTTCCATCTAAGGGCTTTAAAAAAAGACAGTCTTACCATTAAGGTGTAGAACATAAAACTCACCCGTAATTGGATTTGCAAAGTTAAATCTACATCTTAACCAAATAGTATTCCTGGGAATTGTTAATATTAAAATTATCTTAAAAATAGGGGGCAGGGTGGGAGACTAACAATGTCCATCAACAGAGAATGGATAAATTGTGACATATTCAAATAATGGAATGCTACTTGGTAGTAAGGAATAGACTGTGAACACACTCAACATAAATGAATCCAAAAAAAAAACCGAGCATAAGTCAGACATAAGAGTACACATGATTTCATTTACATGAATTTCTAGAATAAGCAACGCTAATCTATGGTGATAGAAATTAGAACAATAGTTATGTCAGGAGGGGTTAACTGGAAAGTGGCATGAGGAAATGCTCTGGAGTAGTGGGAAAAGTGCTGTGTCTTTATAGGTGTGGAGGTTACCAATCTCATATTACAAATTTAAAATCTGTGTATTTCATTGAATATAAATCATACCTCAGCTAAAAAAAAATGTTTTATTTATCTACTGGATCCTACAGTTAAATAAAACCTACGCCCTGAGAAAGCATCTAATGAATCTTACTATTATTAAAAACCGACACAGGACAACCGGAAAGCAGATATGAAGCTTTAATTCACTGTGGGCATTTCTCTGACCATTCTCTGTAAACTGTTTCATGTCTTCACACAAATACATCTTTTACAAGACAGTTTTCCTACCAAGTACTGTGAACCATACCAATATTCCATGTAACTAGTAAAGAGTGTATTATATATTATAACCAATTAAATATAAATACATAAGGTGAATACATATGTTAGAAAATTTAGATTTTAAAAAAAGTAAGGCTAAATACCATGACAGTTTACATGTATTCTTTAATTCTAGACATCACATCACAGTGACAACCAAGTACAATAAAATCATAATTGTTTTTAGATAACAGTACAGATTTTCTAAACCCAATTATTTTCATTTCCATAATGTCAACTCCACACTGCATTTTCATTTCTATAGAAAGTAGACCAGCTTTCAGACTGTAGACCAAGTTTCTTTTGTAATATTATTACTATCTTGATAATGACCACAGGAAACCAATTTTATATTTCCTGTACTATATAGACATGAGACATTACGCAATATATAATAATACGGAACTTTTCAGTGGTGCTGTTCAAGAACAATTCAAATAGCTGAAAATGGGTTTTGCTACAGCAGTCCACATATTTCATTAAAAGATGAAGTCTCTGTCAGTTAAACATTTAGAAATAAATATATAGTACAGCCTCCCCCCGCCCCAAATACTGCCTGGAAAAATATTTCCAAGCTAACTTTAAAAAAAACACAAAACCATCTCAAAAAACAAACATTATAGGATGTTCTGAGCTGCAACCTTCTGGAGTATATTTTAAATTGGAACAAATTTTGCAGCCAATACTGCATTGCTACAGTATCCACAGTCTAAGAGGTCCTTGAACCCTAAACACTGAACTAATTACATAAGGAAAGCTGACCCTGTTTTGTACTAAATCCAAGTGACTATCAAACACAATCACAGCCATTTTTTTAAACAGTGATGCTAGAATAAGTGATGAAAATATATGCACAGCTGAATACAGATCACCAAACACAGGAACAAAATGCCATTTGATGCATATCAAATAAGCTCCCCAAAAGCCAATTTGAATATATTTATTTTCATTTACTTTGATACAGTATTAGAAGGGACTGCACATAATTATGGCGACTGCTGCAAACAACACTTGACGATACTAAGTGTTCTATTAAGCATCAGGCATGCACAATAGTTATCTTTTAAAATTTTTCATGTATATATCTTAACACATATATCTTAAGCTACAATATGTTTAAAGCATTTAGTAATTTTAAACCAAATATTTTAATTGACCTATGTCTAAATGGGTAAAAATAAAAACTTCCTCCTGTCTCAATACCCGATGGTAATATTAAACCTTAATCCCCGAATTATTTTATATATGTCATCATCTTTAGAATTCCAAAAGTGATGAAGATTCTTATCACACTAAATAAGAGGTATGATTCCCCGGGAGCAGTCTACCCACCACACACACAGCATGCCAAGTCTTCGGGGATTACATAAGAGAGTGATGTGCTGGTATCTAAAGATGATAATAATTAAATGTATCAGTCTCTTCTTTTTATTCTGGATCTCTTTGTTTCAAACTAAATAAAGCTTTTCATTAATACAAATAAAAATCTTTTTATTTAACATCAATATAAGAGTAGATAAAACTAAAAACCTTTATTGTCTTCAAGAGTGTGGCAAAATAGAAAATGTTTCAATTATATCAGGAAATCAGGGGTGGGGAAGGAGTATTAATTCTTCCATTTAAGAAGCATTCTAGTCAAATAATCACAAAAACTTACAAATTCAGATTGCTTGGTTCTTGGTCATTTATGGCTTAAAGTACTGGATCTGAAAACCATTTCAGGCTAAAATAAATTTGTATGAATAATGCATAGATTATATACCTAGAAAATCATGCACTATATATATGTTCTCGTGTACATTGGAATCTTAGTGAAGAAAGGGGTCTGTAGGTGTGAAGAGTATTATTTCTTCCCTTTTTCCAAGAGACTACACCCAGAAAGATCCTTGCTTTTGGCCTATTCAAGATCCCATTTGCCAGGTCATCCTGATTTTCTCAGGTTGGTAAAAGAAGCCAATATCTCAAGACACCTACAATGAGGAACTGCCTTGCTTCAAAAGTGCAGGTGCTGTGAGATCTATCCTAGGCAGAACCAGACTCTCATGATCCTGCTACCCTGGTGCAAAGTCAATCTGGAGTACTTGACTAGCTAGAGTATCAAATGGGTAAATGCTTACAATGACTCACTGGAAATGTTTATTATATTAGTATCTTTTTAAAATATTTGCCCTTTAAATTTACTTCATTTGAGAATTGCCAAGGTAAGATCCACTCACTATTCCTGGTTTTGATATGCCCCTACGACATGAGAATTGAACTGAACTACAATGATTGTAATGTCATCTCTGTACATCCGAGCAAGCTCTTCAGGAAGACTAAGCATTTTGGAAAGGCGCTCATGATCAACTGTCCCAAACTCGTTGTTGCCCACAGCATGGCGGATGAGATGGGTTGCTGCATTCTGATCCTCAAATACTGAGGACATTTTGGTTCTCCTTTCTGTTAAAAGGCCATGCATCTGTCCCAGAGTCACCTTGTAGCCACCAACAGCTATTGGCTGTTGGTGATGCATGCCAGTTAGGTACTCACCCACAATCCTAACCACATCCTGCCTATGCATAGTCTCCCACAATCCATCAGTAGCCAATATCAGAAACTTATCCTGTGGCCTTAATCGGTGGTAAGTCACCTCTGGCTCAGCAGTGAGATAAGGAGGTGTGTAATAATTAGGAGGGATAAACTTGGTATACTCGTTGTCATTCAACTGGTCTGGGCCAGATTCTATCACTCTCTTTTGAAGGTCAATGCTCCATTTGAACTTTACATCTCCAAAAGCCCTAAATGGCATCAGCAAGCCAAGCAGCCGATCCTGTTTCACCACACTCTTGGCCTCATTCTTCGGGTGTTCCAATTTCAGTCGTTCTAGTTCACTTTCATTCTGAGCATTGTGGTCATTAGACAGTGTAACTGCTGACCAAGAGCCGTCTTCTTCCTGCACACCCAGCATGGCTCGGCTATCACCAGTATTGGCCACATGAAGGTCAACACCATCCACATGGGCCACACAAGCAGTGGCCCCAGAAAATGCCACTCGAAGCACCAGGTAGTTGAGAAAAGAATTAGGATCACCAACTTGAGCCTCCAAAGATATGTCATTATCAAGCCTCTTGAAGGCATTAATTAAAGCCTCCTTAACATCAACATCAGCTGACTCGCCAGTGTTGAGGTCTATAAGCTCTTGCCAGTAAGTCCTCAAGCTGTTGAAGTACAACTTAGATGCTTCCTTACTGAAGTAATCATTGGGGTGCTTGTGCCACTGGAGGATGGGTAGCAGTGCCCGACCACTCTCCACTGCATTTTCAATCTCTAGCAAAGTCTCATGGGGTAACAAAGAGACAGCAATGTAATAAAAGAGTCTTTCACTGACAGCCTGGGAACAAGCACAGCCTGCATGGCCATCAAAAACCCCCAAAAGCATCCCTCTGGTCTGCAAGCAGGTTGCTGCACTCCTCCGATCCTCAATGGGTGCATTTGCAGGCAGCTGATTGCTGTCAAACCCAAGGACAGAACTGACATTTTTGCCATCAAATTCTGGAACTTTGAAACTGTATTCATTGGCTTTAAGGATGCTGTTGACTTGTGGAGGAGTGAGGTAAAATTTCTGTGGTGTGGAAGCGTATCTTCTTCCTTGGGTGTATTGCCACCAGTTCTCCTTTGGCCTACAAAAGGTAGCATATGCCGGATGGGGTGTATATCTCAAGCGACTCTGAGGAAAGTAGGATGATGAACAGCAGAGATGTTTGTGGTGGCAGTAACACGCAGTGCCATAGATTCTGCTCAGTTCACAATTACGGATGAGAGGAAAAAACAGTTGAGTTGGTGCTGGCATGGCATCAGAGAACAGCGGCAGGCTGGAACTTCTGACTGGGATTCCTAGACAGCAAATTAGACAAATGTACACAAAGAAAAGAGTTACATTTCAAATTACTTAATCTAGCTTTGCTTTTATTGCAAATATTAAGCAAGTCAATCTGCATGCTAAGCCTTGTGCCAGGAAGTACTATATTTTACACACATATCATGTACTATTTCCACAGGGTATATTCTGATAAGTACAAATCCCAATCATTCATGGAGCCAGGAATGAACTCCTGCCTCCTGTACTCAAGCTTCAATTTTCTCTTTTTTTCATATTTCTTTGTGCAGTGCAAGCAGTACAGAATGTACAATAGATTTGGCTAAGGAAAGCTGAGGAGATGAAGGTTATGTAACATTATGCAGTAGCAGTCTACCTGGCCAATCACTCTTCTCCCTCTCCACTCTTTAAAAAGGCCTTTAAATCTCCCATTTTGCACAGGGACCTCTTCCATTTATGAAGATCCTGTTTCTAGACCTGTAGTCAATTGTTAGCATTGATTACACGTGGCTATCACCAAAAAAGGGTTAAGATGCACCCCTAAACATGTATATTTATAAATTACTTATAAGTTATATAAATATACTACCATATAAATGTAATATACATTATAACGGACATTTAAAAAGCTCTACAATTCCAATATTTCCTTTCTGTACCCAAGTGAATGGTCTTGCAAACCCTGCTTCTCTAGACCACTGTGTCAACTTGACAAGCTAAGGGACATAGAGCTGCTACTTTAACTCTCAAATAATCCTGGAAAAGTCAGCTCACATCTTCAGGCCTCACTCTCTTGAACTGTAAATGAACACATCAGAGCAGATGCTATCTGAGGCCTCTTCTAGGATTCATGCCTTTATGTTTGTTCAAGTGAGGCTGTGAAATCAAATACAGGTTTCAATCACTCATTGTTGAATTTTACTGTGCTCTCAGAGATTTAAAAAAATGTTTAAGTATTCTAGTAGCTCTAAAATTTTGTTAGTAATATAAATGGTCTCTAGAATTTACTTGCTACCATTGTGCCCTGCTTAGCAGCCGCAAGGAAAAGCTATAGAAACATTTTCATTTACTATGGATCCAAAGTAGAATTCATCCCAAGAAAAATGTTTTCTCAGATATGGCAATTACCCCAATTTGATGTGTACATGAATTAGAAACATCATTGTACATCATAAATATGTACAATTACTGTCAATTATAGATGAAACATTAATTAAAAAGACAAAAAAGTTTTCTCGTACTTTAAAAAAAAAGGTATTTATTTGCCCGATAAAAGCAATAAAGAATAGTAAAATTACTGTCTAAAGTTTAGATTAAAAAGCACAGCATTAAAATTATGATTTAGAAAAAATCACTCACTATAGGACACTGAAAATAATTTGCCGGCCATTTATGTAGAAAATTTAATGAACATGTATCATTAATCCAGATAATATATGTAAAAAAAAGTTCCTCTTCTTCCTCAACAACATATTTTCCCTGAATTCTTGAGACATTTCTTCAAAGTATTCATTCGGATTATAAAGAAACAGACTTTGGAAATACTTTAAATAAACAAATGCAATAAACAAAAAGTAATAAGGAAAATAAAACCATTTGGGTCTAAATATCAACAATTCCTAACTCAAGGCTGATACTACTAAGAAAAAAAATTACAAATAGCAAGTGTTAGCTATACAGTAAATTATTTTCATGCACCTTTTTTGAAGAGTAATTTGAGAAGACTTGTAAGGGGGAGGAGGGAAGCAAAGAAAACTAAATCACTGAATAATCACTGATTCTTGTTTGCTCTGTAATAAACACTGCATAAACTAGCCATACAGAACATCTTTTGCAAGCGGTAGAAAGTAACATTATTTTAACTGCACTAGGAAGGGATTTGTTCACAAAAATGAAGACAAGATCAGGCAATAGAAAGCAATGGCTAGAATCTGGAAATAAGAATCCATTACTAAATAAGCATTCTGAAATGTAATAATGAAAAACAGAAATTCCAGAAGAACAGGAATCCTTCAGGGTTAACCACTTAAATAACTGTACTTCAAACTGAATAACTGAAAGTCATCCAAAGGTTAAGTGTATATAACTGAGCCAGGAGATGTGCTCAAATGTTGGGCCACATGACTTTGGCTTCTAGACATAAACCCTATCTCTTTTTAGGTTTGCATGTAGAAAGTACATTGGCTCATGTTATGCTTTTATAAAGATTTTCTGTAAACAGATGCAATCTTAATGAAAAGAAATTTTCTTCATAATTTTATGTCTGCATTTGTCCTTAAAAACTTAAGAATCTCACAGGGAAAAAAAAAAGTGTCTGTATGGAATGTAGATCGACTCCTAATACTATGGGGTGGTGGTGGGGCAGGCAGAGAGAGGTGATAAATGCATGACAGGGTTTGGCTGTCTATTCAAGAAATAACAAATCCAGGAAAGCTGCACTTTCTTTAAACTCTTGTTTTGATATTTTTCCTGCTTTTATAGGTGACTGAAAAAGGAATAAAACCTTGTGGCAAGAAGCTAATGATTCATGCCGCAGGTGCTTTGAATAATATTTAATTCAAACATCAAACAATCAAAGACTCAACCACATTTTTCCTTCCAGGCAAAAATTCTCAAGATTAAAAACAAAAAATCTGAGAGTAAATTGTTTCAACAGTATCTTCCAGGGGTTTAGTATATGGACCAATATTGTATCCTAATCCCCCAACTCTCAACATGCCTTCACAAAAGACAAAATTTTAGGGAAGTTGGAATTCATGAAAACCCTGCTGTGATTAATGAGTTTTCTATCCTCATCAATACAAGTGATATATTCTCTCCATCAGACCAGATACCCTTAGGAGTCCAAATACTTTCAAATGCTTTCATAAACAATAAGTGAGCATTGCAAAACTATTATCTTTCTGATTATCTTGTGATGCAACAAGAAAACCCCCTATAACATGAAAACTTTTGCTGACACACAAGCTTGCTAAATTAATGAAGTAGACGGCTCTTGATCAGGTAATAAGAACAGCATCAAGTTACAGCTGGTAAAAAAGAGAAGTGTCAAATTTTCAAGTTATTCCTGACCATATTTTCACAGAAAAGTTCCTACTCCACGATCCAGACTCAGCCACATATAAATGCAGCATCTTAGTTAGGCAGATTTGGCCGATTTTGCCAATAACTAATAAAGAGAGATGCGCTGCAACCAGAAACGGGAAAGAGACTCATCCATTCTTACTGATGTGCTCGGCAGAGCCCATGCCAAGAAATCATTCCACTTCGTCCATAGACCCAGCGGCCAAATTAATTAGAAAATGTTATTACTGTACCTACTCCGGAGCGCTATAGCTTTGCAAAGCTTCTAATGTAAATGAAAAAAAGAAAAACTATCCTAGTCATTAAATGTGTCAGAACCCCAGTTTATGTAATCCAATTGCATTAAACACCCTACATGAGACTCTCCGTGATTTTTCAGCATTTTCTGGAAATGCCTAGCCATTTCACAGCTCTTGTTATCGTAACATGAATGAAGAAACCGATTTCCCTTGGACCACACAAAGCCCCATGCCAACACTTGTTCGATTAGTTTCTTTGTTCCTACCTGAAAATTCCACTCACAAAGGCATCAAAGCTATCCCAATCCAGAACGCGTTGTCTCCTTTTCTTATCTATCTCATCCCTTAATTCCATGCTGACCCACCTAAAACCATCCACACACAAAATCCGTTACCATCCTTCCTGGGTACCCAACGCAGGTAGTTAAGTGAATACCTACCAATTCGCCTGGGCCCGGGACACACACACATTCTCCTGTCATCACAACACGGAGCCGACAACATCCACAACCCGCGCGGGCAGCAGCAGCGACAGCAGAACCGGCCCATTGAAAGCAAGGCAAAGATGCTCATTAGAGGAGGCGAGGGCGGGAGGCGGGAGCGGAGGAGGGGCGAGGTCTCGCCTCAGCCCGGTGAATGGGCTGGGAGGGGGGAAGAGAGTGGGGGAGGAAAAAAGGGGTGGGGAGAAGAAAGAAACCAAACAAACAAACCCACCCCGACGGGGAGGCACAGCCACAGCCCGAGGCGGCAGGGACCCAGTCGCAGGCAGAGGCGCGCCCCGGGGCCAGCCCCTCCATCCAGCCCGGGCGCGGAGCCCAGGGCGCCCTGCATCCCCGCCCGCTGCCCGCCGGTCCCCACGCGGCTCCGGCTTCAGTCCCGAAGACCCGGGGTCGGCCGGCGGCGGTCTGTCAGCGGGGCCACCCGCACCCCGGGGTGCGTAAGGGGGGACCCTCAGGCAGACACGCCGCGCCGCAGCCTCCCCGGGGCTCACCCTCCTGCGGCTCCCCGCCGCGCCCTCCACGCTGACAGCGGGCGCGCAGGGCCCTGAGGACCGGAGGGCTGCACGGCGGGCCCGCTCCCCCCACACCCCCCGCAGACGGCCCCCAGACAGCCCCGCAGCGCCGACGCCCCCGCGCGCACCTGGCGCTCCAGGGCGCCTCCCGCCCTCCGCCCGCCCGCCCGCGGCCGCCGCTCCGCAAGCACGCCGCGCGCCCCCGTCCCGGCGCCGCCCTCACAACTTTGGACGGGCGGAGGAGGATTCCGGACGGGGCGGCTCGTGGCCCGGAGCAGGGAGTACGAACCCCGCACAGCAGGAGACTAACCGCTTTTTCCTGACGAGGCGGCGGCACTGCACGGCGCTCCTTCCACGCGGCCCCGTGCAGCTCCCCGGAGCGCGGCCCCTCGACCCCGGCCGGCCCACTCTGCACCCCTATCCGCCGGGCCGCCACCCTGCCCCGCCCGCACGTTCGGGCCCGAGTGCTTCCCGCCTCCCGATTGGCTGCGCGTTGGCGGGTGGGCGGGGAGGCGGAGGGAAGGCCGTGGCCGGGCGGAGGGGGCGGGGGCGGAAGAGGAGCGTGCTCCCCGCCAACTCTGTGACGTCATGGGGGTCAGACAATCCCTTCCATTCGGCGCAAGCCGCCCATTGGTTCCACGGGCCCGCCTCACGTGACCGCGCCCGCGACGGGTGGAAGGTGCGGCTGAGCTGTGCCAGGGGGCGTTGGCGGCGGGTGCGGGCTGGAGCCTGGGCCGGCTCGTGCATCCCCGCGTGCGTGGGGCGGAAGGGAAGGGCGCTCCCCCGCTGGGCGGGCTTCCGCGAATCCCTGACACCTCCGCGGGGAGCCGGCGGCGGCCAAGGTCTCCCGCGCCTAGCGCGTGGGTGCAGGCTTTCCAGGGTGGACTGCGGGAGCGTCTCCCGGGCCAACGGGAAACTAAACTCCCAGAAGTTCACCCCTGCCTGGAATGTAAGGCTTGACGAAGAGCCTAGAGAGTATCTGTTGCTTCATTCATTTGATACGTTGCAGATTTTAGGAGCCTTACCTCTGCTAATGTTTCTCTTGTTTTCCGGACACCCCTCAGGTCCCAGAGAGGAAGCGGATCTAAATAGCAACAAGAGGGAGCTGTGATGAAGGAATGCTTTCCCCTTTAGCGCAGGTGTGTGCTTATCTTCTCTGGAGGGCTTTGAAATCAATATGGTTTGCCTTGAGTAGTTACAAGGAAAAGGGGTAGAATGCAGCCTGGAGAAGTGGGAAGAGCACTGGACTTGGAGTCAGAACACCTTCATCCAAGTCATTCCCAGTGAGTCCCATTTCCACCCCATGAGACTAAGTTCCTGCATCTGTATGAGGTGAGATTAGGCTTAAGGTGGCATTGGCATTGGTTGCAATTAAACAGACTACGTCCCTAGGGCTTTTAGTTACCTCCACACACACACCCCTCTTTATGGGATAGTGAGTGGCTTCTAAAAGCTTCCTTAGAGATACCAGGTAGATTGTTGTACTTATCCAGCTTAGTTTTAACCAATGAGTTGACTTTGATTTAGTAATATTACACATCTGCTTACAGTAAAGTTCACAAAATGATGAGGACTGATATAAAAATTTAACAGCACTGTGGAGTTCTATCTTTATTAGCCCTGAATTGCCTGATTTTTATGTAATACAGGAAAAACAGTATCTACCCAAACTAGTTCTTCATAACTCCTGGATCTTTCAAGTTGCTCTATTTTCTAAGTATTAGAGGAGAATCATTTTCCCATCCCCAGGTTGCTCATGGAACGTCTGTGGCTAGTCTGTCTAGCTCTCATCCCAGTTTTCATGGGTCCATCTACCTCACTTCACCCTCTCCTTTTTGCTTCTCAAATGAGAATTTATAGCTTCCTATAAATTTGCAAGTATTGTTCACTGTCTTTTTCCTATTAAACATCTGATTTATGTTTCTGGTTTTCTCTTGTCTCATAGATACCGTGTAGGATGGTGTAGCATAGTGATTTAAGAGTAGAGTTGGGCCAGACTGCCTGGGTTCCAGTCCTAGCTCTGCAGCTTACTGTGTTGTGTGGTCTTGGGCAACCTCTGCATGCCTCAGTTCTCTCACATGTAAAATAAGAATAAGGATAGTAACAACTCACAAGGCTGTTAAGTGAGTTCATGTGTGTGTGTGTGTGTGTGTGTGTGTGTGTAACTTGCTAAGAAAGTACGTAGCATGTAGTAAGTACCAAATAATTATTAGCTATTTTTAATATTATAGACATGTCCAGGTCAGTATTTTAGGTTAAGGACTCCCAGAAAGGGTAAGAGATCCAGGCCCCCAAGTGCAATATATTCTGTAGTTAGATACTAATAAGTTATTAATAGAATGGAGAGTCTTAGAACTTAGGATATCACTTAAAGTAATTTACATGAGGAGTACCTCTTAGCCCTAACTGTGCAGGCATGAAAACCAGTTAACTGAAACTAAGAGTAGATTTTTATTTTAAGGGCTTTTGCCTTAGGACCCAGAAAGGAAGTTTATACTAGACTTCTCTCTTGTCTATAAACTTTTTGCTAATGGTTGTGAAATAGAGTAATGAGAATCCTGAATTTATACATCCATATCAAATGACTCTTCAAAGTTGTTACCTTGGTAGCAACCCTTATTCCACACTGACAATACCATTATTCAGAGCACTTTTAAAATTCCCTTTTCAAATTATTTTCAGATCTGTGCAGGAAACTGCAACTTGTTTTACGGTAACCAACACTTTGGTTTCATACCAGAATAGTATTGATTTCCCCATCTTCTTAGTTTGGAATGACCTGGCATTTCTGAAAATAGCACCAACTCTCAAAAATACTGGTATTTGCCACCACTAAATATAGTCAAAAAAATTTGTCAGAAGTATTGGATGCCAATAGGTTTCTGAAATCAGAATAAAGCCTTCCCAAAGTGATGGCTTTGAAATAATCTCATTTAGAGGTATAAATTCTGTTCTTTAGTTGCAAAGTTATGTGATTCACTGATGACTATATTATAAATAAAGTGTCCTTCTGCAGAGAAACCAACTGCTGGTACCACTGCAGGACATTCTTTAGTATCTCAACCTTGACTCTCCTCTGGCCAGGCTTTGTTCCTGTTTCGAGTTGAATCTCCATTTGGCCACCCAATAAATAGGCTTGCTTCAAAAGTGCTGTTTGTTATCACATGGCCATTTGACTAGGGCCAGGGCAGGTCCTTAGGTTGGCTACTCTGACCCTACAGACTATTTTAGCCACCAGAACACCTGTTGACACTTCGACATTGGAAGGTGTTGAAAAGTAGCACTGAAACAACCCAGAATTATTGCAGAGAAGGGCAGGGAAGGAGACAAGAAGGGGCTTCAAGGATAGTGTGGTACAGAGAAAGAACTGTGCAAAATGCTTGTTTTGTCTACACAAATGCTTTCTATGATATCAAAAATGGAATGACATTTTCTGAATGTGACCCTTAACATTTTCATTCTCTTGCCCTAGAACAAACCTCGTAATGGATAAATGCTTGACCAGATTGGCCTGTTGTTCAATGGGCAGGTGATAAGACCCTTAGGGTCTTGGAGGTTATAGCTTTGACAACATAGAGATCGTCTAGCAGTCTTAGTGGTGCCAGTCAGGAAGCTTAAAATAGGCCTGCATTTGGGTCTGAGATGTCAGCCTGGTGGTTATTAACTTACTATGGCCTTTGCCAAAATCAGCAGTCATAGGGAAGAGAGGCTGGTTTACCGCTTTTCCTCTTTTGCTCATGTTTCTCTACAGGTCTTGGGTAATAAGTCAGCAAGTAATTGCTAAGTAACTAAAGAATGGGTGCCTGTTTTATTACCTTCTCGGTGTTGAGAGCTGCTTCTTTGAAATTAAGTTATTTGGAGTTATGCAGTGAGATTGACACATCATCTACACAAAAGAAATAGAACATGTATTGTGGCCCTTCTCCTTTGGACCAGAGGCTATTCTAGGTGTTTTCACATTCATCTCTTTTTCTATTTGAAAGGCATCTACTCTTATCAGAATTCATGAGGCAATGGACTATTCAAAAAGGAAAAAAATATTCTCTTGCAAAATTAGGGAACAAAGTCTCTTGACTAACAGGCAGCAAGTTTCTGTGCATTAATTGAACATGACAAATAATGTGAAAAGTAGGTATTGAGGTTGCTTAATTATAGAGGCTCGGGTGCTTTTAGCAAGAGGACTGCAGTGTGTGGACCTAAGACTGGCACATACTTCAAATATTCCTGTTATTGAGGATATCTTCAAAGACTAAGGATGACATGCATGGGCAAAAGGAGAGAAATAAAGGGGGCTTGGTATTATTGTCTGGCCATCTGATAATTCAGCAAGATTAATTTTTCATTCAGTGTAATTTGGTGGATGGATTTCCGAAAACACAGAGGGTGTAAGGTAGAAGAAGAGCTTCAAGGAAGCTGAGACATTGGGGTGTGTCTAGAGCACTTCTTACAGTAGGTGCCAGGTCATGGCTGCCTCTGAAGCAGGTTCTGTGAATCTGCAGACTTCAGCAGGAGTCCTCAGCCTGTGAACTCAAAGATGGTAGTGCTGATCCGCACACTTCTTTAAAGCTATCATTCTTTGCTTGTCTTAATTACTTAGAATATGAGCTTCTGAAGGGCAGGGACCAGGTCTCTTTATGCACCAATATAAACCCATGGCCTGGCAAATAGTGAGAACTAACAGGTAGTGGGTGTTTTCTTTATACTGTCCCCTCTTCTAAGTACATATCTCATTATAAGGTAGGTATTTTCCTTATATCCATTTCACAAGAAAGTAAACTCAGTCTCAACAAGGGTAATTTGCCCAAGGATCACATAGGTAGGCAGCTGTGGAAGCATCTACCCAAGAACTTGCACTCTGAGGCAGCGGTCCCCCACCTTTTTGGCACCAGGGACTGGTTTCGTGGAAGACACTTTTTCCAAGGATTGGGTGGGGGTCGGTTTCAGGATGAGTCAAGCACATTACATTTAGTGCAGTCAAACCTCTCTGCTAATGACAATCTGTATTGTAGCCATTCCCCAGCACTAGCATCACTGCCTCAGCTGCACCTCAGATCATCAACCATAAGATTCTGATAAGGGGTGGGCAACCTAGACCCCTCACATGCCCAGTTTACAGTAGGGTTCATGCTTCTATGAGAATGTAATGCCACCACTGATCTGACGGGAGGCGGAGCTTGTGCAGTGATACAAGTGATGGGGAGCCACTGTAAATACAGATGGAGTTTAGCTGGCCTACCACTCATCTCCTGCTGTAAGGCCCAGTTCTTAACAGGCCACAGATGAGTACCAGCCCATGGCCCAGGGGTTAGGGACAACAGCTCTAAGATTCTATGTTACAGTGACCAATACACACAAAGTGCTCAATAATGAATAAATGAACTTGTTTTGAATGAAGAAAATGGTGGCACATTGCAACAGGTGAATGAGAATATTTTATGAATAAATGAATGAATACATCACCTTTTATTCTATTACTTAGGTTTTCAAAAGGCCTTATGTTAGAATTAGGATTCAATTATAGCTTTGTAAGAACTAAAGAAGTTTCACATTTCCATTACGGATTTAAGGGCAAACTATATACTTACAATTGCAGGATTTCCATCCATGCTTATTGTGTCTGTAACCAGAAATAAATTTGGCATAGCAAAGTGTTTCATTACTGAATAGCCACTCTTGTTAGAGAGCTGTAGGGTTTGGCTGTGGTTTTTCAAGAGAACCAATTTTGGCTTATAAAAGCATATGTTTCTTAGAAACCAGATATTATAAATATTTGTAGGTGAATACCTAATATATTCAATTTACATTCTAATATTAATAAAATTATAGTTCATTATATCACATGAAGTGAACAATTTGATATATCAAAAGGAATACATTAATATTCAGTTTGCAGTGTTACTTTTATTTTTAAGCAGTATCAGCTAGAGAGAGAAAAGTTCAATGAGAGAAAGAAAACAATGAACTAAAGAGAATGTTAATAATAGCTATTGAAATATGTATCTAGTTTCTATCAGGAACAATGAACTGTGGGACTGTAATCAGAATATTTTAAAAATTACTTAGGTACAGTATCTGCATTGTGATTTTGTGCAATGGGTATGAGTTGAAGTCAGAGAGACCTGAGTTCAAATCTTAGCTGTGCTTCTTACTAGCTGGGTAATCTTTCAAAATTTACTCAATAGCTTCAACTTTTTTTTTCTTTCTTTTTTTTTTTGCTTTTAGTCTAAGGTGTGCTGTAAGGATTAGGGGTAATGTGAATGAAAATGCCAAATGATAGCTGGCAAATAACACCAGGTATTAGCACTTAAATTAGTTTCCTATTTCTGCTGTAACAGATTACCACACATTTAGCAACTTAAAACAACACACATATATTATCTTTCAGTTCTGAAGGTCAGAAGTCTGAAATGGGTCTCACTGGGCTAAAATCAAGTTGTCATTCCCCCACCCGCCAAAAAAAAAAAAGTTCTCATTCCCTTCTGGAGTCTCTAGGGAACAATCCATTTTCTTTCCTTTCTCAGCTTTGAGAAGCTGCCCACATTCCTTGGCTGATAGCTCCGTTCTCCATCTTCAAAGCTAGCAGAGTAGCATCTTCAAATCACTCCTGTCTCCACTCCAACTTCCTCTTCTGTCTTCATTTTTTAAAGACCCTTCTGATTACATTGGACAGACAGTGATTATCCAAGATAATCTCCTTGTTTTAAGGTCAGCTGACTAGCAACCTTAATTCTATGTGCTGCCTTAATTCCTCCTTGCCATGTAACATAGCATATTCACAGGTTCTAGGATTATGATGTAGGCATTTTTTAGAGGTAAGGAGGGGGCACCATTCTGTATACTATAGCACTTTTCTCCCCTAACACTCATTTATTCATTCTCATACTCATTAAGGAAAATATAGTAAAAAATACCTTTATCCTCAAGAAATCTAATGTTTAGGTAGAGAGCTTAAATATTACTTGCAAAAAACCATTAACTGACAATACAAGGTAGCAAGCAACAAGCGCCAATATGAGCCATTCAAATTTGTGCTACAGGATTCGGGAGGAGAGATCAGTTACATGTGTGTAAGAGAGAAAAAGAGTCACTGGAAATTTGGATTGTCTAAAAGCAGCAATGTAATGAGAATGTCCCTTCCTTCCTCAAAAGGTAAATGTGATCTCAGGTTGTGTTAAGTTTAAGAACAACAGGAGTGATAACCTGCCTCTGTTCTGCCCTGGTGAATCTCTGCCAAACTTTGACAGGCATAAAGAAATCTGCAGTGTAGCCAGGGGAGGGCTGCCAGCAGGATGAAGAGTTTAGAAACAGAATGTACGAGAAGTTTAGGGATATTCACGGCATGGCCTTCAAATACTTTAATGACAGTCATATGAAAAGATAGCCAGCTTGTCTTTAAAAACTCTGGAGTTTGAAAAAACTAAAGTGTGTGGCAGTTAGATTTACACTCAGTATGATAACTTTATGTGGTTATAGTTTTCTGGATATGGAATGAGCTACCCCTTGAGATAATGAGTTTCCTGTTACTGGAGGTATTGAAATAGAATCTAGACAACAAGTGACAATGTTCTCAAAGCACTTTGTTCATTCGTGCCTTGAACATTTTACTTACATTGTGATCATTTGCATGCCAGTCTCCCTTCATAAATTGTGACCTCTTTCGGGGCTGAACTTACCATATTTGTTTTTAACTTGTCTTGGGAGTTAGCCAGGAAATGTTGGGTGGATGAATGGATGATGCATGGATGAGGTTGAGGCTTGGACAGAGTGACTGTTAAGAGTCCCTCCAACTCTGGGACTGTCTATTCTCTGAGCTAGGTCCTGAGCTAGGTTTAGAGAATTGGGTTAGGATACAGAAAGGGGGTGGTGGTGCTACAATCTAGATGGGAAACAGTGTGTGCAGGCTCTGTGGTTGGTGAAGAGTGAGAGAGTTGGGGCAGAGTCTGGTCCTTGATTCTTGAACGTCTTTAATTTCAAGGATGTTAGAGTTTCTCATCTTGCAGTTGGGGTCTGGATTGATGTTTGACTGAATCATTATGCAAGAAGAGAAAAAGTGCTGACAATGATATACATCATGGCTGGTTAGGGATAACTGGGGTGATTGCCTAAATATGGGAGTAAAGACATAAAATTCAGAACTAGATGATGGCAGTGAAAATGTAAAAGAGGGAACAGAGTTACTAAAAAAGTCAGGACTTGGTGGTGAGTTAAATAGGAAAGGTTGAAAGGGGAGGGAATCAAAGAGATTTGCATCCAAAGCTTTGCACATGAATGGCCATGAGGATGGACATTTATGTCAACTGAGTTTCTTTATTACTGAGATGGCGGTAATATGGAAAAAGATGAAAAATATTCAGGATTTTCCAAAACTGGTTCCATTGAGTTCATGGCAGAAAGTGGGCTGATTTTAATATTTATGAAGATGGAAAGTCAAGAGTATTAGCCTGTGAAGGGCACATGTTTTTTAAGAGGTGAGCTTTTATGCTGGCAAAAACTGATGCTGAATAGTAATAGTTATAGTAGATGCTGTTGTATGAGCCCATTATGGGCCTGCACGATGAGACACTTTGCATGTATCATCCTCTTTCATTAAGTTATTCATGAGTATGAAGGCATCAGCTCGTACTCCACATAATGTCTGCTTTAGGGCAGTACCCAAGGAAAATTCCCATCCATGCTAGTTCTAAGGATAATTGTATGTCTCTAAAGTAATTGGATTTTTTTTTAATTTAGACTTTGAACTGAATAAATATTTAACTGTTTCTCTATAGTGTAAAGGGGTAAGGGGGGGAGGTAAGAGGAGTTATTCCAACTTTGAGAGACAGAATTGTGACCCAGTTATAGAATGTGTGTAATATATTTTTTTAACCTTTTTCCTGTTTCTGTTTTATATCCCCACCCTTGTTTTTCTGCTCTCCCTTCTCCTTTAAATTATGCTGTTTTGTATTTTATACATACCTGAAGGTAGTCATAAATTCATTCTGGAATGAAGGAGAGTAAGTATAAATATATTTCTACTACTTCCTACTTTATAGATAATGAAAAAGAGGCTCAATTAATTTATCTAATTTGCCCAAGATCACAGTGGGCATATTTTCTATTGCTAGGTAACAAATATCTACCAAAATGAGCTTGAAACAATAAACATTAGTGATCTCACTCCGTTTCTGAGGGTCAGGTATCTGAGATCAACTTAGCCAGGTGGTTCTAGCACAGGGTCTCATGAAGTGACATTCAAGCTGTCAGCCAGGGCTGCCGTCATCTGAAAGCTTGACTGGGACTGGAGGATATGCTTCCAGCTCATTCACATGGCTGTTGGTGGAACATTTCTGTTCTTTGCCACAGGGACCTCTCTCTAGGGCAGCTCACAACATAGCAGCTGGATTTCCCTAGAGCAAGTGATCAGAGAGACAGAGAAAAAGAGAGAGACCAAGACAGAAGCTACAATGTCTTTTATAACAATCTTGGAGATGACATATAATGACTTCTGTACCTTGATAAAATTTGAGTGGGAATTCCACGAGGGAATGAATTCCAGCAGCAGAAATCAGTGGGGGCCATCCTAGAGGCTGCCAAACACAGTGAGTAAATAATGATGCTGCTTTTACAAAAGTGTTGGATTCAAACATGCTTGAGTTTGGCCCCCAGAGCTGTTTCCATTTCTTTCATCTTGAAAAACAGGGGAATGAGCGCCAGCAAGTGGTGCTGTCCTGGGTTTCTGGTTTTCTTCCTCTGATCCTGCTTACAGCTACCAATCCTGCCACAGTTTGATCCATAAAGCTTTGTGCAGCCTCATGATTCTATTTAATACTTTGAAAAGTAAATACACATTTGAACCTTAAGCTGACACTAAACAATTGAACTTTTGGGTAGCACTAAGGAGTTAAAATAATAAATAGTCAACATAACACTATGTCTGCTTACATCCTCTGAATTTGGTAGTGCAAGGAATGATTGTAATTTTAGTTCCTTGTACTTTTTATGTTCATGGGAAATGCATGTGTATAGAGGATAAAAGTTTTGGGTGATTCCACCCCTCGGAAGGGGAAATGGTCAATGTAATAAGAAAATCCATAAAGATATTTTTATGAAACATATTTTTACTGCATTGTTGAACTGTAGCCAGATTTTGTTAGGGAAATAAGAACATGTTGTTTTCCTAGTTTGAGGGAACTGCTGGCTCAGTGTTCAGTTTTTGTCCACAAATCCATGACTCACCAATCAATGACCTGGATAGATGAACACATAGGATCTCATTTGCAACCAGCTAGTACCCTAACTTTTGATGCTTTTTATTCTGTTCTGCATCTGGAAGCTCCATTTTTATTTGAAATATGTATGAATGGATGTCACTATCAATGTTTAAAGACAACCCCAAACTCATTTCTTAGCCAAGATGATCTTTCTGAACAAGTTATTGCTATGTGCCTGTGGCATTTGAATGTTCTTATAACTTTCTTTAGATCTCTAGAGTGTCCCTCCAGGGCCTGTTGTAGTATGCCAGTTTGTACGTAATCAGTTTGGTCTAGGGAGAGAAGCTTCTCTTTACATTTGACTTAGTTATATGCAAATTAATAGCTTAAATACTCTTAGAATGTTCACTGTGTTATAGGCTTTGTGCTGTGTTCTACAAATGGAGAAAAGAGTAAACATAATCTTTGTGCCTTTAAAAATTTGTGGTCTAGCTGCTAGGTAAACATTAACAGGAATACTTATGAAATTATGTGATACAAGAGCAGTATTCACAAAATGCTTGAAGAGAAAGGAGAAGGGGATTAGTTCTGCCTGGTAGTAGAGTGGGGAGATGTCAGGAAAATTTTTCTCTTAGATCTGTAGTCCCCAGATGTGGATCCCAGGATAATAGAATTTATGCTAACTTATGGCAGAATGGGAAAAAAAAAGCTGTGTCTTTTTAAAAAATAAATTTAATAAGCTAAATTTATAATTTAAAAAAAATTATTGAGCCAGAATATATGTTGTTTCTTATATGTTTTCTGTTATATTGCCCTTTACTTTATGAAGTCATGATGATAATATGAATTATAATGTGTAGATGGTTACATTTGAGCTAGTGTTGGAATGGAGACACACTCCTATATAAAGGGGTTCCTGCTATTTGCCTATCGGTGATTTAGCCACATCTGTGTTAAGGAGAAATTAATTTGCAAAAAAACAAAAAACTATATGCTTGCTCTTTACAACTGGTTTTGAATAGTTTTCTTCTATGTGTCTGGAAGAACGTGGGAGGAAAGTGAGAAGTAAGAGAAAAAACTTATTCCTGCAGTGGTACAGAATGTGAACTGTAGCCATGAAAAGCAGCTATTGCCAACATGGAAACTGGTTCTGGAAGGATTTTCCCCTCATAAAATCTTATATAGTGTAGATAAAATTAGGCTTGATGAATGTGAACCTTCTACTTATTTCTAGATGTTAGGTTAAAAATTAAAAAGGACCTTTGTATATATGGACCTCCTCCCTCCCCACCTAATTTTTTGCAAGAGGAAGGGAGAAATAATAAGCCATTGGAACTGTGTCTGAGCAAGTCAGCAGTAATAGAATCTTTAACTTGGCCGTGCTGAAGGTTGACTGTGCTCAGTGTCCCTCGTTCAACTCACCTACAAAAGCTTTTCATCTACTTGTACATGGGTGTCTCTCCAGACTTGAGCTATATCCATAATCTTAAAGAAGGTGTCATCTTTTAAGAGAGATTCAAGAAGAACCACAAAGATGATAAAAGGACTAAATAATATCAAAAAGATGCTTATGAAAAGTATTGGGATTCCTCTCTCTGAGCTCTGGGGCCGTGATCTTACAGGAATTTATCTGCCCTGGTTCCTCCCAACATAAGCACTTTACGAAGTGATCAAAGATTTCCTTGACAACTTGCCAGACAACGATCATGAATAACAGGCGTTCTTTCTACCGTGCCCTCGGACGCACTCCCTGTGCATGGTGAAACGAGGGCTCCGAGGTCAGACACACACCGTCAAATATTTCCTCTACCGTGTGACTGTCAAGTCACAGTCTTGCTAAGCCTCAGTCTCCTGCTTTCTACAGTGGGCATAATAGTTCTTACTGCACAGGGCTCTTGTAAACAGAAGTAATATGCATGCAGTAAGCACAAACTACTACTCTTCTTATATTTTAACTGTTATTACTGCTATTTCCTTTTCTGGGAGGAGTGCTTCTCTCCCGGGCTCTCTCTCTCCCACTATTCACTGCCTTTGAGTCTGGAGGGTCCCAAATCACACGGACCAGTACTAGCTGGTTCTCTTAGCTTCCTTGAAACTAAAGCATCTGCACATGACCAAAAAATATGCCATTGTTCACAGGGCAAATAATTTATTTGGTTAATTGTCATATATTTAAGCAAATTAAACAAAATTTTATATCACACTATTTTTAGACAAAGTCGCATAGGGAAATAATGTTAAGTATTTAAGGAAATTATACATCCTATCAACAATCCTCAGACTTTCCTCTCCCCATGACCTTTAGCAACTCAGCAGTGAAAGTATCGGAAGGAGATGAACTCTCCAGTGATGATAGGTGAGTCCTTCCTGGTTCCTGCTTTGCAAAAAAAAAAAAAGAGAGAGAGAGAGGGAGAGAGATACATGGCCTCAAGGGGTGTGATCATGACCTGATCTGGCACACACAGGTGTGCCTTGAAGCCTGTCTGTGCTGAAATGACTAGCCAAGCTGTTGGAGGTTGAAAGAGAAACAAGGAGTGCTCCTTTATTTTTATGCACACTTCTAAGAAAGAAATGTCATTAAATAAAAAGGGGTTGGAGGAGTCATGTGGTTATATCCCTTGCTTAGAAAGTCTAGGGAACTATTGAATTGACCTACCCTTAAAAAGCACTACTTTTAGTCATTAATTCATTCAACCAATGACCATTGACACCCAGTGTGTGTTAGCCACTGGCGATAAAACAGGACAAGGACCCTGTTCTCATGGAACTTGCAACCTAGTGGGGAAAATGATATAAAAAGAATTCCACAGGAACCATTACAGCAGAGCCAGCCCTCTGGTGGCATAGGAATGCCCCAAGGCTGGGTGTGGTGCATTAGACACCTGAGCACTGTGTTTGGTATTCACACAGAGATGTAGGTGGGTGTTTTTAGTGTTGTTGCACTGATAACTGAAGCAGTAACTTCCAGCTAAAGCAGAGAGTATTTTTGACCTCTCAAAATGATTGACATGGCTTTGGAGATCTATTTTTGTCCTCAAGTTCATGTCCTTTGTGGTAGCCAGCGAGGAAAATATCACCCTGCCGCAAGTGTAACAGAATAAGCTCTGTGTTATCCGTGATCCTTCAGCCTCGACATGCTGAGAAGCAAATCTTTGATTTACCTAATGTCATTTTGTGCTTTAAAGCACTAGAGTTACCTTAGTGTTTTGCTCTTTGATATACTTACCTTTTATTTTTTGGTATGCCTTCTTAAGTTTCCACACAAATTTAATAAGGGTCAGAAAGCTTGGATGAGACCAAAACCTGGATAACATTATAGATATACTGGTAAAGGCAAGAGAATGACCTTCAGATTTCTGTAGGCTGGTGGTTTGTGAAAGAGGAAGTTTAGTTTTAACCTTAACCCCACCTCTACCCCTTGTGAAAACACATGGTGAGCCATGCAGGGCATGTTAGGTTTTGCATTTCAGCTATGGAGAGATATCCAATATCAACTCAATATTGTTTTTAACTCTAGATGTACTGTATTTAGTGGGTAAGAGCAAGTCTTCTCTCAAATATCCCCTACAGATTATTGATTGATTACAACAGGGAGAAAGATACTTTTACAATGGGAAGATCTGATAGATACCCCCATAGGCAGTGAATCTAACATCATTAATAATGGTGATTATTGACTGACATTATGTTCTTCCCTGTGAGATGCAATGAGAGGTACACAGCATTGTGTAGGTAAAATTCTTACTAAAGAATGTCTAACCTGGATCTAATCATGAGGAAATAAACAAATTCAGACTGTGGGACATTGTACAGGGCAACTGGCTTGGATCATTCAAAAATATAAATGTTGTGAAAGACAAAAATAACGTGGGAAAATGCTCCAAATTAAAAGAGACTAAAAAGATGTGATGACTGGGTGATTGGGTGCTTCATCCAAAAAGGAAGGGAAGGGAAGTAGATGAGAAAGAATGGTAGAAAGGAAGAAAATATCTTCAAAGAACATTTAGGGGATAATTGGAAAAATATGAATATAGTCATTTTATTAGATAATATTTTTATATTGCTGTTAAATTCCTTGCATCCAATTGTTATGGAGAATGTTTTTGTCCTTAGATGTGCATGCCGAAATGCAAAATGTGAAATGTCATGAGATCTCCAACTTTCAAATGGTTCAAGAAAACATAACCGTATATGAAGAGAAAGAGGGAAGCAAACAGGGTGCTCTGTTAATTGGTGACTCAAAGTGACAGCAATATGTGTGCATATTGATGTAGTCTCTCAACTCATCTGTAGGTTCCAAATTTTTCAAAATAAAAAGTTGTGTGAGGGTGAAACAAGAAAAGTCTATTTGAAGGGAATTATTATAGAATTCCAGAACAAAAAATAAT